GTTCTGGAAGGAGATGTGCTATGGCGTGAGGTTGAAATCTCTATATATATACAGGGTGACTTCGAAGTTGAGTCACTTATTTTAACAGTGAGTAGATCTGATCAAAAGAAATGTTTTTTCCTATAAAATTAAAGTAAAAAAGTTATAGCCCTTTAGAAGTTTGAGTACCGCCCTGTCTCAATAATAATATTATGTGCTCGTGTTTGGCAACAAGCCCAGCTCTGCGTCGAGCAAAACGGAAATCATTTCAAACAGTTTTTGTGGCATGCTTTTGGGCGCACAGGTCCGCACTGAAATACTTCTCAGGAGGATACTTTATAAAACAAAGTAACATTTTTTTTTATTTTTTTTTTATTTTTACACACATATTTTGGTTTATCTTCCTTCTATAATTATTATCTGAAAATTAATGACTCAACTTCAAAATCACCCTATATATAACATTAATGCCTCTACGTATTAATTTGGTTACTAAATATCACGGTGTTTTTTGATAAAGAACCATATGACTCAGACTTAGGAGCTAGTATTTTTATGTATATTTAATCAATTTTCATCCAGTTGAGGTCATTAATGGCCTTCGATATATGATAATATTTTCTGAGATCATCTACAAGAATTCATAGAATCAATTCATATCACTTTGGATACGATTTTTTGTTATACTATCTAAATAGGGATAGTAAACCACTAAGCAATACAATATTTTTGAAAACAATTTTCTTCCCGCAGATTGTCTTATTTGCAAATGATACTCTGAGAAATTAGATTGTTTACGTGTTCAGCAAATATAGGATCCTGCAAAAATACGTGCGTGTTCTTCACAACAGGATCGAACTCTTGGATATTGATTAACATACAAAATTATTATTCTAATGACCCTGTTTATATAAGTTTCAATTTATTGGCTTTGGAGCCTAAAGAAACACAGTTTCCTGTTATAAAGTTGCCAACATTTCCGAAAAATGTATTACCTTCTTCAGGGCTCTACAAAACCATTTTAAAATACTAAATTTTCATATGCGTTAATTAAAAATTTTTATAATAAGGCATTATATAAAATAATAAGGCATTATATGAAATTTGGGGGTTGGTATATCTCAATTTTTGGATGTATATATGTTTATACTCTAATTCTAGAGACTTATAGTCATATTTCGTACACCATTGATTTGCCCGTACAGTTGCCCTCAAATGATAGAGAAATGTTACTAATACGCGTCTCTGCTTCTGCTCACTATGTTCATCGGCGTCACGATTTCGATTAGTGTCTTGTCGTTGCTGCCGCGCTGCTAGTCCTACTCGTCGTGCAGTGAGACATGAGCCAAAGCGACGTTGCCAGAAGGACGGTACTATCGAAATGACAGAGAAGGAATGGACTTATGCTTGGGCTTGTTCGACTGACTTGATTCATTTAATTTCTCTGTTATGCATACCCGTAGCTAACTTTTTTCCAGATAGTTTAACTTGTGGTGATCATAATTTTTATAACTGATGACAGTGTTGTGTGGAAAGGTTATTTGACACCAATCAACTTTGTACTAAAGCATAATGTGTTTCAAATAGGGTCAACTATCCACCCTTAATAAGTTCGTTTGCACCTTCCGAACACCCTATATTCTTTTAAACGCTTGCCCACGCATTGATCTATTAGCAGAGCGTCGGGATTTTTTTAAATTATATTTTTGCGAGGAAGTCTTGTAGTGGCCAACCATGGACAGCTGTTTCGTGCTACTTGGCAACTCCTCAGCATGGTGTAGGCCTGGTCTCGGTGGACATTCAGCGAAGCCAAGTAGCGCGAAATAGCTGTCCTTGGTTGGGCGTATGTGGTCGCTAGTTGACCGTATCTACTGTAGGCCCAGGATCGGCGGCATCTAGCGGCCACAGTGGTGACCTGGCTGGCAATGCGAACTGATATACAGTTCAAACAGTAAACTTGATGTTTCCACCTTTACAGTGATGAGTTCTGGTAATAGATGGCACTTTATGCTGTCTTATGCCGATGTAGTTGCTACTTTTCCCCGTGGTTGTACTTGTCAGATGGTTTGATATTGATTTCCAGTGCAGGCCATGGGAAAAAATAAGCTTCTAAACCATTGATTTCCCAAAGTGGTCTATATCGACCCCTAGGGGTCTATGACAACCTGCAAGGGGTCTACGTCAGCGAAAAAAAATTTGGGGCCCATGAAATGAATATGGGGGTCCACGATAGTGGATCTCAACACATACACTGATAGTACCTATTTACTTACATCATACTATCTTATAATATCAAAACATATACATTATTTATAAAAGTACCTATGAAGTAAAAAATTTATTATATATGTTTATAAAATTGTGTAAGTTGTAGGACGCTGGTATTCGCTTTGTGGTCGCAATACATTTTGAGCTTGTAAAAACCTGAGAGTCGCAGTCTCAGACCTTCGCTACCTTTCACTGACTTGTTCAATTCGTCACTCTATAGATACGAATATGGGACAAATACGTTTATTCGTTTCCTGAATCTTGAAAAGGAAAGTGCTAAGAAAATATTTTAAAAAATATAAACAGATAGTATATCACACAAATTATAGTGTGTCAGTGTTATTTTGTTTGAGAGTGCTGCTATTTTTTATTAAATTTTAGTTTTGTACTCGTAGTTAGCAAAGATAGATAAATTACGCCAATCATGACTTTAGTTATTAGTAGTTAAATATTCAATCATGCAAAATTACACGAGTACTCATCAATACTTTGTTTTTGAAAGTTTTAGCAATCGGTAATATAATTACAGAGCGATGTCCGTAATTCGAGCTAATTGTTGCAATAAGATGTTCGAATTATGGAATGTTTTCGGAAAAATCAAAAAATATTTTTAATATACAGCTGCTGGATTTTCTGTCTTATTTAAATATTTTAATTTTGCCCACAGATGACTGATGCTATGTCCGAATCTAAAAAGAAATGTAGACAGTACAGTATTGATTATTTGAAATTTGGCTTCATTCCATCATTGCCGGACAAACAATCGCCTATGTGCCTTTTATACAACAAAGCTTTGGGCAATGACGCTATGAAACCATCTAAACTGCAAGATCATCTGAAAAGATGCCACCCTGATAAAATAGAGAAAGATTTGAAATACTTTCAAACACTCAAAGATAAATTTCACTGGACAGAATGTTCACAAAGAAATGATGATGGTTTGCGGGCGTCTTACAATATCTCGTTACTTATAGCCGGAAATCCGGAAAACCGCATACTATCGGAGAGAACTTAATTTTGCCAGCCGTTGAAGAGGTTTTAAAAACTGTTTTATACAAACCTGCATCTGATATCATTAAAAGAATTCCCTTAAGCAACAATACTGTTGAAAGACGTATTGATGAAATGAGTTCTGATATCGAAAGCTTCTTATGTAATTATTTGCAAACGACCCATTTCTCTATACAACTGGACGAGTCAACTTTACCTGATAATGCAGCATTATTATTGGCATATGTTCGTTTTATTATGAATCAAGAAATCTACGAAGAACTGCTCTTCGCAAGAACTTTGATAACCGACAATATTTCATGTTTTGAAGGATTACTTCATTGAAAAAGCAATTCCTTCATCAAATATAATATCAGTAGCTGCAGATGGAGCACCTGCCATGGTTGGACGTTATCGTGGATTTATAAGCTATTTAAAACAAAATGTGTCAGGAGTGTTAGCCATACATTGCTTCATCCATCGATAACATTTAGTTGCTAAAAATTTGAGTGTTAGATTGCCTGAATCACTTCATTGATGCAGTAAACCGAATCCGAAGCAACGCGTTGGATACGCGGTTATTTGCGCAGTTGTGTGAAGAAAATGACGAACACTTTCATCAATTACTCCTTCACACTGAAGTACGCTGGCTGTCGAAAGCCTTATATTTTACAAGATTTTTTGAAACGAATGTCATAATACAAGAGGATTTGACTGAACTAAGTACAAACGAAGAACTTAAGGTTCAGTTTAAAAACGGATATCAGCAATTCTAGATGCAAAACAACATACCCGTTACTTATCCCGTATTATGTAATATAGCGAGGAAATTTTTAATTTCCTTTCCATCGTCATACCTAGTGGAAAGGGGGTTCGGCGCTGTTACCAATCTCCTAACGAAAAAAAGAAACAGACTGGACATCATTAGCCGAGGAGATTTAAGATTAACCCTTACAAAATTGACGCCAAATGTTGATAATTTATTATTAAAGCATCAGGTTCATCCTTCTCACTAAAAATATTGACTTATTGCTTATGTCATTTTATTTATAGTTTATTTTATGTTTATTGGTGTCTGACCAATAAATGCCCGCATTGGGAATAATTGCCCGCATTGATTTTTTTAAAGAACCCCCCTTTATAGAAAATATTTTTTTTTAATTATTCTGAAAATTCAAGGATAGGTACACACTAAAATTCGTTATAATTTTTTGCCTATTTTTAGATAACTTAAACGTATAAGAAGCGGAATTGAATCAAACTAACAGTGAAATTATTGTAGAACATACGTTTATGTTATAATTAATAAACGAATTCGCTTATTGTACTATTTTAAGTAAAGAACTTTTTTTTTTATTATTTTTCACTTTTTTTTATTTTATCCCTCTTATTTTTTTTCAATGCGGGCACTTATTCCCAATGCGGGCACTTATTGGTCAGACACATGTTTATTTAATGTTATGTATATTTTACATAACAGGTACAAAATTTTATTTTGAGTAGTTTTAATTTAAATTCAATTAATAAATGTATAAATTAACATGTGTTTTTACTTTAAGTTTTAACACTAAACTTCACTACAGTCAGAAATTTACAGGAAATCAATGTCAGGCAAGTAGGTGGTCTACCCAACACGGAAAAACATGGCAAGGGGACACAAAAAAGTTTGGGGAACTCTGTTCTAAACGATTGAAGGAACATTTCAGTTATCATCTTCAAATTATTCAAATAATACAAGTAATATCTTATATACACAATTTAAATTAAACTTTTAGTTGTGTGCTCCGTCGATTGTCCTGAAGAACATGCAGTAAGATATAATAGCTCTGCAGACCTGTAAAGTAAGATAAACGAGTTTTGAAAAACTGTGAAGCAATACAGCTTTCCCCCGTCAGGGGATACTCTATAGAATCTGAAAACTGCTAGATACTTGATGTGCGTTCTGAAAGAAAGAACAATGGATGTTATCAGACCACTATATGCGTACGACGCAAAATTTTTGGAACACACGATCGTTTCTTTACCCAAAATGTGCGGGTCTCTGAAAATCCGTCATACTTTGAGAAATTCACTTAGTTAAGAAGTGTTTCATTTAAAAATAGTTTCCTAAAAAAAAATAATTAATATTTGGTATACATATTTTTTGATTGACCCTGATCTCCACTAATGTTACCCATTGCCAGGAATATCCCTAGAAGTTTAAGGATATTTTTGTTTGTCCCAGAATGCGATGTCAGTGGCTAATAAGCTGTTCACGTCACACTAACATCAACTTGACTTGTGTGTCAAAGATTCCATCCAACCCACAGATTATTAGGTACAACCTGACCATATCAAACACTCCGGTGTCCAGGTCTCAGAATTGTTGTACTCCAAAAAAGAAATTTAAACCTGTTATGTTATCCGGCTGATAAATTCTCCCCTTTTAGCCCAAAATGCATGAGATCATATGGTAAATTTTTATCCCCCTAAGAGAGCTTGAGATAATACCAGTAGACATGATGCGAGAAATTCTTGCCAAAATGACTCCAGAACTACTCCAGGAAAGCTATTTTTTAGCCAACTTTTCAACGTTCAATACAGTAATGTCACCTACATACGTAATTGGTCAACATAGCGCAAAAAACCTTCTATTTCCGATTAGACGACCTTACGAGGGATACACTTAAGTTATTTGACGTGTTTCTTCCAGAATTTTGGATTGACAGATTAAAAATAATAAATAAAAATCGCCAAAGGCTTCTTTTCCTATGTTCAAGAGATAAAGCAAGCAACGTTTCTATCTAAATATTCATCTAAATATCTCCATACGAAACGGAATGACTGCTAAAGCTTCAAAAACAGGATTTAAATTTTTCGTAATAGATTAGGGCGCTACCAAATAGTTTACCATCTTGAAAATATTCAAACAGAATGCTCGCCCCCTTCAGATCTAAAAACTGTCCACTTAATCCAGATCGTGGACATTTATGTCATATTACCAGTAACATCAATGGTACTTTACACTCCGTTAAGAGTAATAATTACTCGAGCAAGAATCCAAGATTAATGTGAAGACAGGTACCATATTTAGTAGATCGAAAATACTCTATGGACTTTTAGCTTATTTACAAAATCGGAATTGAGCGTCCATAAAAAGGTATCAAATCGCTCAAAAAGAAAAAATCGCCAAAATATCAGCTACAATGTTATTGCATGCATGTATCTGTATTTGTTACTCAGTTTTCTGGCCAAAATCTGACAGGCATCATAGTATTTCAATACCTAGAGTTAATTTTCAGAAAGTTTATATGGAATAACTACTGATACAAAAATACAACACATCCTTGTACTAACATAAGATTGAACATTTCAGATCAAGTACAAGTTGATACTGGTGATAATGATGGTGGTACTGAACAACTAATATTCAGGAACGACCTAGCTTATTTAGATCAAGGACCTGAATTGAACTTTGATCCAGGAGATATAGAAAACTGAATAAAAAGTTATAATGTTGGATGCCAGTTTGATTCGAATTAATTCAGGTTATATTTATCTCGTAATCATATGACATTAGTCTGGTGGGTAGACGTCCATATACGATGTAATCGTATCTTGCGGTAGGTTACACAAAGCTAGAGTGCTTTTTCTGATAGTTGTAGTTCTTTATTTTCAAAGCTATGTTGTCAGTAAGTTGTCTAATAGCGTCAGGTATAGTTAGGTATTTTATCAGTTAGTTGTTAGATAGGTGTCAATCTTGTTTATGCCTAGACAAATAATAAAAATGCACCGTTGAGGAAAACCTCATTCAAAGAAATATCATATTACCGCCATGAAGGTTGGCATATTTATTGGAATCAGACCACCAGCCCTGATTCCAAATTCCACTTGGGTCTTCTTCAGTACTAAGACCATGTTCTTGTGCTCTTTGGGATAATCTTGCCAGTCGCTCAAGTACGCATTCAGTGACAGTTGCTCCACCTATAGTAAGGCAAAATATAAAATTTAAGCAACTGTAATCTAATCTTATTTCATGATGTTGATTTGAAAATGTGCGATAAAATATATCGTTGGACAACTTGGCCATAAGTCCTTACCTGATTGGCAAGCTTTTGCCCTGGAACACAGTAAAACATTACCATAAAGTATAAACCTGTAACCATATGCATTATTCCATCCATGAGTATTTTGGGATCCAATGTCCTGTCATAAATATAAATCACTGTAACTTTAGATATACATACATTCTAATATACTAAAATAACACTTCAATAATAAAACTTACTCCAGAATCATATAGAGACATACTGTGCAAGCGAAGGTTGTAGAAAAAAATGTAACCAACATACATTTGGCATACACTTCGTTCATTGTAGCACAAAACCTATAAACAAGGAACCATAAATAAAATAAAAAACTACATCATAATAAACATGCCTTCCTTCGTTCGTCCGACCAACCATGGATAAGTGTTTAGTGCCCCCCCCCCAAAAAAAAAACACTTTAGCATGGTCTAGTCTTGAATCTCTCGGAAAACGAACAAAATTTTTTATATATATACACAAAATAAAATAAGGAATCGATATTTTGTGGCGATCGCAGTGGAATACGTTATTTGCTTATTGCGATTCTCTTATTAAGCCTTTTCATTTGACATCCAAATCATAGCAGTGACCATGAAAATTATAAATAGCGATTTTGCTGCAGCCGCCATATTATACTCCTTGTTACGTTTATCTCATCAAACCCTTTAATACCCACAGTAAACGGCGGGAGCCACATTGAATTTTGAATGACGACACTTTGCTTATTGTGTTCCTCTCATCAGATTCCTTCATCAATTATTGTCAATAGCAATTTTGCTTCAGCTGTTATATTGCATTTGGAATGACCTCAATTTTTTTATTGTTTCATCAAGCCCTTCTATTTGATACCCATATCATAGAGTCACTATACAGGGTGGCCAAACACGAGACGTCATAAAAAAAAATTAGATTCCCCACATCGAGAGGAACCCAAATCACCCCCATATATATGGTCCGATTTTGTTTAGTTTAGGAGTTATGATTTTTTTTCGGATTTTTCGAGAATTTTTGAGTTCTGTGTTTATTTTTACCATAACTTCGTTAATAATTGTGATAAATGCCTGCTTTTTTCACGATTATGTAGCTAAGACCTAAGGCTTAACTATCATATAATCATTCAAGTCATGTAACTAATACTACTTTTTAATTTTTTTCAAAATCTTCGAACATAACAAAAAAGTAAAAAAGTGCAACAACTTTGAACGTTTATAAAAAATTGAAAAAACATGTTCTTACTATTCGTAAGTATCTTAAAAACTTCCTTACGGTATCAGCTATTTACCGTAAAAATTTCATCAACCTAGCTTTACTACATGCTACCGTAATTGTGGCTCAAATAGAACCGAACCCAAAATTGGATAACCCTCTGCTCAATAGAAATTGTTAGTTTCGGAAAAAAATTTTGCAAAAACCACAAAAACACGTTTGATTTTTACTGAACAGCAGATTATTATTCATTTATGTTATTTACAAGAGGTTTTCAAAATGTCTGCCTCTAACAGAAATGCACAGTGTACACCTACGTATGAAATTTTGTTTTAAATCTCTAAATGCTTGTGTGTTGTTTTTCAACACATGTGTCGCTTCTTGAATTTTGTTCCTCAATGAATTTTCATTTGCACATTCTTGGGCGAATGTTATGTCTTTAAAATATCCCCAAACAAAAAAATCAATGGGGTTGAGGTCAGGGGAGCGTGGAGGCCATCGTATCGGTCCGTTTCGTCCGATCCATCTGTCTGGGAACCTTTCGTTTAAGTAGTTTCGCACGATCGTTGCGTTCTGGCATGGTGCACCATCATTCTGGAACACCATGTTCCGTCTGGCTTCCAGGCTTGAATCTCCCAGCAATAATGGTAGGCTATTTTCAAGGAAGCTTTTGTAGGCTACCGAATCCAACCTTGACGGCAGTTCAAATGGACCGATAAACGTCATCACCACCGACCAGCCACGTCATCTACGGCACAGGACACGTCAGCCGTTCTGGTATAAATAACCCCGAAAGGCTAAGTCACCTGCAGACGAAATAAGAGGCCATATCAGCCGAAACCTCGTGCTCTAAAAAATTGGATATTCCGGGACTCTGCTTTGCATACTGATTTGGACTTTGTTTGCTAAGAAGTTTGTGATGCATTATACGTTGCGTGAATATGCAGAAATGCATTATTATTATGGCGTTGCTCAAGGCAACGGCGCTTTAGCAGCTCAGCTGTACCGGGAACAACTTATACGCCGAGGCGGACCCCAACCTGAGCATTACCCAGACCACCGTGTTTTTATTAACACACATAACACTTTCATGGCAGGCCGCATTCCAGGACGAGGAAGCAATGAAGGATATCCTACAGCTGATCCGGATCGCAGAGAAGTAGTACTTGAAGAAATTAGCCGGAATCCCTCAACGAGTACGAGATCTATGGCACAAAACCTTAGAATACCACGAACATCGATACAAAATATTCTTCATGAAGAAGGTTATCATGCCTATCATGTTCAAAGAGTTCAAGCGTTGATGCCTTCAGATTACCAGTTAAGAGTGGATTTCTGCGAGACAATGCTGCGAAGACAACGAGAGGATCCCGATTTTTTTGATAAAATTTTATGGACTGACGAGTCACGTTTTGAAAGAACAGGGATATTCAATATCCATAATTTACATACTTGGGCTGTTGAAAACCGCCACCAGTCAAGGCCGTCGACATTTCAACACCGTTTTAGTGTGAACATGTTTTCAGGAATATTCAATATGGAATTTATCGGTCCATTTGAACTGCCGTCAAGGTTGGATTCGGTAGCCTACAAAAGCTTCCTTGAAAATAGCCTACCATTATTGCTGGGAGATTCAAGCCTGGAAGCCAGACGGAACATGGTGTTCCAGAATGATGGTGCACCATGCCACAACGCAACGATCGTGCGAAACTACTTAAACGAAAGGTTCCCAGACAGATGGATCGGACGAAACGGACCGATACGATGGCCTCCACGCTCCCCTGACCTCAACCCCATTGATTTTTTTGTTTGGGGATATTTTAAAGACATAACATTCGCCCAAGAATGTGCAAATGAAAATTCATTGAGGAACAAAATTCAAGAAGCGACACATGTGTTGAAAAACAACACACAAGCATTTAGAGATTTAAAACAAAATTTCATACGTAGGTGTACACTGTGCATTTCTGTTAGAGGCAGACATTTTGAAAACCTCTTGTAAATAACATAAATGAATAATAATCTGCTGTTCAGTAAAAATCAAACGTGTTTTTGTGGTTTTTGCAAAAATTTTTTCCGAAACTAACAATTTCTATTGAGCAGAGGGTTATCCAATTTTGGGTTCGGTTCTATTTGAGCCACAATTACGGTAGCATGTAGTAAAGCTAGGTTGATGAAATTTTTACGGTAAATAGCTGATACCGTAAGGAAGTTTTTAAGATACTTACGAATAGTAAGAACATGTTTTTTCAATTTTTTATAAACGTTCAAAGTTGTTGCACTTTTTTACTTTTTTGTTATGTTCGAAGATTTTGAAAAAAATTAAAAAGTAGTATTAGTTACATGACTTGAATGATTATATGATAGTTAAGCCTTAGGTCTTAGCTACATAATCGTGAAAAAAGCAGGCATTTATCACAATTATTAACGAAGTTATGGTAAAAATAAACACAGAACTCAAAAATTCTCGAAAAATCCGAAAAAAAATCATAACTCCTAAACTAAATAAAATCGGACCATATATATGAGGATGATTTGGGTTCCTCTCGATGTGGGGAATCTAATTTTTTTTATGACGTCACGTGTTTGGCCACCCTGTATAAATGATGAACCGAATTTTTGTTACATCCGTCATATTATATTCAAACTAGCGGCGGTTATTACATTTTGTACTATCGGGGGAACCAAACGAGTGTACAAAATTCCAGCTCAATTGGTTAAGGGTAATTGATTCAAAAGTTCCAAGATTTGTCCCAGACATACTAACAGACAGGTCAAGTAAAAATAAATATAATGATTAAAAACAATTGTTTGCCCTTGATTGTCATCTTTTTGAATATTTCACTTCTATTTTCATGGCAAAACTCACTCCCTTAGCAAGTTGTATCGGTCTACACATTCCTTCAATCTTAACTGGAAGTTTCTATCATTCCCACATGCCTGCTGGTCGTAACATTTCAAGAGCTTTCTATTGAGAACCTCCATATCTTTGGTTACTAACACTATAAACGTCTTCACCTGCAAAATATAACAGACAACTGAAGGTTGGAGGTAAAAACAAATTATACCGTATTTTTCACTTTTACTTCTTAAACGGGTCAAGCAAGCAAGCTGAAATTATGGTTTGATGACGATTTTTTAAATGGAATGGGGGTCATGTGATACCTCATTTTAAACCTCCCTATCAATACTTTATAACTCCAGAGTATATATCCATAGCTGAGAAATAATAACTTCAAAGAGGAATGATCACTGAAACTAAATACATTACCATAATATCGTAAGACACGAAAGAGATAGATCCAACCATTTGGCATATGTCTGCTATAGTGAACATAGCCTGTTTGGGAATCCAGTGTGGGATATAAAGACCGGATGTCCGTAAGTGCCTCTTCACGTTAGCTGCAGTACTAGAAACCCACCATTTTACGAGAGTTGGTCCATAAATACGGTTCACAAAAGTCTACAACCACACTCAATGTCGAAGCAAAACCCGGCAACATCGATGTGCGCTGGTTTCCCTACTCTTAATCCCTCCCGGCCGCGCTTTGCTGCGCCGTTCATTCTTGGCTCAGCAGAAGTTTCTACTGTTTGTCGCCAAATATTTATCGTCGGATGACACACAATGGAACAGATGACCAATCTAGGTAGACAAAATTAAAAAATAAGATATATCTAAAATTGCTTAATGTTTAGCGCAAAAGACAAGTTTGTATAAGCGAAATACGTAAGGATAAACATACAAAAAGTAATCCACGGATTATGGCTGAAATATAAACATTAAATTTCAACAATTTGGCATTAGTGAAAATGGATCGGATAATTGCTACTGAATTGAGCCCATTTCTTTACAGCTATGCCACGGTTTAAATAGTTCCTAAAAGGATATGGAGGCGTCAGTTGCTGAAATGAACAATACACCCACATTAGTAAATAATAGAGGTCCCCTATTTAATATGTGATAATATTTAGACTAGAACAAAAACTAACAAATTACGCTCTCACACATCTGACATTATAAAACGATATTCAACTGAATTTTGGGTTTGAAATATTTGGATTACAGCTACCTTACATCTTAAAAAATAGCTTGGATGCTAGCAGGTGATTTGGAGCAATGATCGATATCACTACTTTCACAGCTGCTAACTAGTCACGTATTTCGCTTATGCAAACTATTTTCTTTGATAAATACTCAAAAGTTTTAGATTTCTCATGTCTTCTTTGTCCACCTAGATTGGTCATTTATCCAACTAGTGTATAGCAAGAAGTGTATGTCCATTAAACACATTTCAAAGTGCTCCAGGAAATTTAGAGCCAATGGGAAAGAGATGGTCAAACTTGAAGAGCAGATGGATTACCATGCGTGAAATTCCAATTATACCATGTTGTAGAGGAGATAAAGTGGTAATGTTAATGTGTGTTGTAATTTGAAATACCATCTCAAATAAAATCAGGAAAAAATAAATCGACTGCGTATACGCTATAATGCTTTCCGTAGAAGACACTCGGGTTTCCAAAACATTATTCTAAAAATGTCATGTTATATGCCTAATTATGTTGTTTTTAGATGAGCTTCCTGCTGTAGAAATATTGTCACTGCTTTTGGGAGAGAATGTGTAAGGTATTCCTGTTTTACTTCATTTTGCCAAGCTGATGAATGCTAACAAGGATAAATCGGTGTTGGGTACGACTTTTTATCATACTAAAGCAGCCACCTACGCAGCAGCCAAAATACCAGGGCTCCGCGGCTTCTATGAGGACATGTTGTACGGACATACACTTGTCGCCATACACCTCTGTCAACTGACGATGAGTATTCATTGGTAGAGTCACTTTGGCGAGCGAAAAGCGAGTTATGGATCAAATCTTGTGTTTGGTGGGATCAAAAATAAGAAGCTACATATTGGACGGCCGCTAAGCCAAGATTAACTGGCGTCAGGGTTACCAGCTGAGAAATATTGTATTTATCAACAGAATTACTTGCCTGATTTGGAGAAAATCACAAGATCTCCAATAAACTGTATCATGAGACAGTAACCAGTTGGAAAAAAGGTTGAAGACAACAATTTTTATTCACTAAAAATGGACATATTTATTTTGAACTCATTATATTTGGCGTGGACGAGTAATCGATGATAAGGGAAAAAAGTAAAACAGAAACCAACAAAAATTTACGGAAGCATACAACGCACAGTACCCAAACAACCGACAGGGCCGCAGTAACATAAATACATGATATTATAAACAATTGGTTTTGACAGTTCTAAAAAACATCTTAATTTATTCATATTGAGTTGTTACATGCTTTCTGAATGTTCGTCTTCAATAACCGTAATGTTATAATTTGAAAAAATCACCAGAAATGTGGCATTTTACGAAAGTGTTCACCAAAGGGATAAAAAATCACCAGATCTGGTGAAAAATTACGACAGCTGGCAATCTTGTGCTGCTCAGTGAAGCGCGACCAAAGGGAATCGAAAGTGGGGAAACAGTCATGCACAGCGGTGTTACCAGACTTCGCCTCGCACCTTCCTATGTGGCTCAAGCTCTTTCTAGATCAACCCCCGTATATGTATTTATCAATAAAACTTTTTTTAAATGGTGAAATCAAAAAAATATTTTCGATGTGTCTCAAATGTTCACAAATGGATAATATTACTGTTACTTACACATAGAATGAAGCTAGGCATAGATAGATATTGCTGTTTCTTTTCAGCTTTTGGCTTTCAACTTCATAGTTTTCCATCGGCCAGAATTTCTTTGTAGTTTCCAGAAGGTACACCAGCTTATGTTGATTAAGAAATAGAGTTGCTTGTCTAAAGATCATCTAAAAAGTTGTAAGGCATGGAAAATATTCAGTAAATTCTTGTACAACAGTTTTAAAAGGTTTCATTAATATTTTTACATCTGATTCCATTCATTCGTGCACCCATTATGCATACCACAGACCAAAAGCAAAGCGGCATTTTCTGTTGATTGTGATAATTTAAAAACGGCTTAAAAATAACATCATGCTGCATTCATTTTTCATCAAAAAAGTTACGTATCCAAACTTTACTTACATGTCCAAACAAAGTAAAATTAAGAATGATCTTAATCAAACCAGTGACTGTAACATGGTTTGCCCTGATAAGGGATACCAATGTTAATGCTGGCACAACTATCTGTAAGATATCGAATACTATGAAAGATAGCCACTGAGAAAGTATTTTGCCTTTGCGGGGATCATGTATAAGCACTCTTTGTAGCTTTAGGCAAAACTCTATTTCTGGATGATAAGGCATGGTGGTAGCCTAAAAAAAGGCGAAGTCTTTTCACTGCCTAAAAAGCGTTCCCAGTATAGACATTACAATGCCAGCATTTAAACATTTTTAAACTATGACCTATGAAGAGCTTTTACAACTCACCTCTTCTTATGGCAACAACTGATCAAATGCTACCGAAACGCACCTGCATCACAAGCACTCAAAAATAATTAAAGGCAATTCGGTTTGAAGTTGAAGTGAATATTGTATGATACAGGATGAAATTAGAGACAAAGGTGTTTGAGTTCAATCCCTTTGATGCAGTTGCACCTGTAATTCACGACAATTTGTGGACTAACCATCGCTGTGTTTGGTAGTGATACACGTAATAATTACATTGATGCCACTTATACAGGGCGTTGCTTTCTGACCAACAATGTAAAAGCTCATAACTGACTGTACACATCATATTACTGTTGTATTTCTTTTTGACAGTGTGTGCGCCGAGAAAGACACAATATAGTAAAAAGAGACATGTTTAGAACGTCCTCAACAGTTTATTAGTGAAACTGCCAAATCGTCATGCCTATTCTAGTAGCAACACGCAAAATGGTGTTCTAAAGATCTTGTTTTTACCAATAATTATCAGGATATGTCCAATATTTGTCACGTTCGAGATCAGCGTCCCAAATTGACGCAGTACAGAGCCGGCTTCAGAGTTTTGTGCTCTCTGAGGCAAAGGATAAAATATGCGCCATCCCACCACATTTATTGCGAATTTTGCGCTCCCCCTGACAGTGCGCTCTGTAGCCGGCCCTACCAGGCTAGCGATCAGCTGTAGTCACGGTCGATAAAAATAGAAATTTTGTATTGTAAAACTGTAAGCTTCAGATAATGTTCTAATGCCCATGCATACCTTCAATCTCGACTAAAATCTGTTTCTTGGGTAAATTTGGTGCATAGATCACGATTCTGATGAGAGTTATTTTCTGAGATTATTAGAAGGCCCTAGATAATGATTTTTATATACGCACACCTGATCTTTAGATTTTTTCAACTCCCACACCACTGGTGAGGATGTATTGTAAGTGAAAAAAAAAATTCTAAAACTGGATAGTATGTGATTTGGATGTCATATATGACTTGCATAGCGAAAAATCATGTCGTTTTGACAGTTTATCAGCTAACCCTTGATCCGTTTTTAACTTGCTGCTATACCACTGAAAAAGAATCTTTGTACTTTTTGATAATCGACTCAATGACCACATGACAAAAAACAAAAATTGCTCATACTTTGTTTTTTTCCCGCTCCAGAGGATCCTGGTCATTATCAAGAAAAAGTTTCTAAAATGGATAAAAATTGGGGTTTGGGGTTGTAGGGTGTGAGAGAAGGTATACCTCAATTTTCTGTAGTTGGTATATTCGTACGCTTCTAACCACGGTAATTATACGCTCCTATTTGATATTTCACATATTATAGATACCCCACACAATTTGAACATATGTTATGTCTGCGTCGGGGCCTTACCAGTAGGTAACGAGGTTAGTTATAGTAAGGTTGCCAGATGGTCGGTGCTGTCCGTAGGGCAGGTAAGAAAAAACATGATTAATTTAATTTTTTTCTTATACGTATTCTTCACTAGATTTTTTCATGAGAGCCATCTTGTGCCAAACATAATTCGTTATGAACTGAAGACATCGTCTTGGGAAGTGCAGAATCAACCTGGTTGAAGCTATTTTTGAATTTGTACATGTCATACAACATCCGAAAACCACAAGATCTCATTTTCGCATTTACAATATTTTCTCACCAGTAGCCGTGAAATGTATAAAAAAAAACTTACGTTTAGAATACCCCCTAGAATTTTATGAATGGCCGTTTGAAGAATACTTAGAAACCATGGTAGCAGTAAAATCTTTGTTTTCTTATATTGTTTTTCGGGCTTGAGTAAATGGCATATTTTGCACTTTTTCAAACATTAAGTCGCTAATATCTCGAAAACTATCAACTTTACGGATGAGTTCATAAAAACCTTTTTGTTCATAATCATACGTTACATCATACGAAAGAACCAGTTTTTAAAATTTGTTCGAATAATTGTTCTAAACAATGATTAACGCAATTTTGCAACTGCCAACATGCATATTCGATTAAAAACGTCCTATTTTATTGAGATTACACAAGAAAAGCCTAAACAGAATATTGTTATTAGCGTATA